TGACGAGAGCCTGTCTGTGAAGAGCGTCGGGTGTGTTCATCTTGTCACTGGCGGAGGCGTGGGACCGTTGGCCACTGACGCGCGTGGGATCGTTTGTCACTGATAAACATGAAATCGTCCTGGCGCGGATTGAGGGATGTAACAGCTCCGTGCAGCGAGCGGCAGATGGTTGTCCCCAATACCCACTGGGAGCAGGACGGGCAATCACGCCCACCCCCCCTCCCTGTCACCTGCCACCCCCAAAAGCCAGGCCTCAGGCGGATGTACCCGAACTGATCTGCCTGCGAAGCCCACAGGGCAGGAGACTCTCTCTCTCTCTCTCTCTCTCTCTCTCTCTCTCTCTCTCCTCCTCTCTCTCGCTCTCTCTCTCTCTCTCTCTTTCTCTCTCTCTCTCTTTCTCTCTCTCTCTCTCTCTTCTCTCTCTCTCTCTCTCCTCTCTCTCTCTCTCTCTCTCTCTCTCTCTCTCTCTCTCTCTCTCTCTCTCCTCTCTCTCTCTCTCTCTCTCTATCTCTCTCTCTCATCTATCTCTCTCTCTCTCTCTCTTTAAAACTACTGGAAACGAACAGAAAACAGGGACGGTTCTGTCTGCCCGTAACCGTCCATTCTTCCCAGTCGATCATTCTTGCCAGCCATTCCTGCAAGGAGGCGCATTACAGAACTCGCTCGCGCCGGATATAGTTTATCGGGCAGCCGAGAGGGCGGGGCGTCGTAACCTGGGCCGTCCATCAGGGCCGCTTCGCCGGCCGGCGGCTTAGCGCCCGTTTTATCGGTGGGCGGTGACGATGTGGGGTCGTAAAGTGGGCATCGCCAGCACTGGTGTGAGGACGTGGTCTGCACATCAGGGTCGTGTCCGGGCGGCGTCCACACCCAGCAGCAAGCGGACGGTGTCCCCCACCCCGCAGCGAGCGGGCGGTGTCCCCCGCCCCGCAGCGAGCGGACGGTGTCCCCGGCCCCGCAGCGAGCGGACGGTGTCCCCGGCCCCGCAGCGAGCGGACGGTGTTCCCATCCCGCAGCGAGCGGACGGTGTTCCCGCCCCGCAGCGAGAGGACGGTGTTCCCGCCCCGCAGCGAGCGAACGGTGTCCCCCGCCCCGCAGCGAGCGGACAGTGTCCCCCGCCCCGCAGCGAGCGGACGGTGTTCCCATCCCGCAGCGAGCGGACGGTGTTCCCGCCCCGCAGCGAGCGGACGGTGTTCCCATCCCGTAGCGAGTGGGTGGTGTCCCCGCTCCACAGCAAGCGAACAGCGTCCCCGCCCCGTAGCGAACGGGCAGGGCTCGGACGGTGCCCCATTCGGAACACCGGTGGCGTCCGCGAGCTGCCCCTTCCTGGAGTCCAACGGGGACCAGGTGGCGTTCTGTCGTGGAAACCTGCCACTTTCTCAGAACAGCCCAGGCGGTGTTCTATACTGAGCATGAATCGAGGTCGACATGTAGAACAGAGACACTGAGTTCCAATATGATGATATAGATAGTGCGGGAACAGATATAGCCGAGCAGACTCCAGCGATATAAAAAGGAGGCAAGAAATACTGTCATAGTCAGGTGGCTGGACGCAAGAGAAGCAGCACGTAGTTTGTGAAGCCACCGCAGGGCGATTGCACGGACCCATGCCAAGCGAGATTCTGGGAACTGTGATGTGCTCGGCGTTTTGGACACTATGGCGTAGACATCTTGGAATCGGTAAATAATAGCCTTAGCAACCCGCTCCCCAGTGATCAGCGGAGAGCAGTGACCGGATCCAGCTCGCATGACCAGATGATATGCCAATATTTCCTAGATGTCCGTGATATTTAATGTCCAATATGATCAACTTTTGTGATGGCGAGGAATCCATACCACTTCCTTGACAACCTGCGGAGAATCAAGGTGAATTAACACGCGCCCGGGTGAGGGTAGGCGTCAAATTAACCCCCGAAGGTTTTCCAGAATGATTTCCGAACGGCGTGACTTCACCGCGCCAAATTTGGAGAGCTTTATAGAATTGAAAGGCGGATCTTTTGGTGCAAAAATTTAATGTACTTGCCAAGGTTGTTGACCAGTGACAGGTCAAAGTCAGGCCATGGCTGTCAGCGAAGGACATTTCTGAGGAATTGTTTGATGCCATCCCACAACGGAGTGTTGAACGAACCCATACATATATGAAATAATACCTAAGACATTAAACCAGTTGAATTTAGAACTACAACCAATTCAACTGACCCAGGGTAAGTTGTAAAGATCAGGCCAAGGTCAAAACTAACCTGTTTTTTTACTCGAGAGCTTGGTTGATGAGGAAGTTTCTGGTGCTTATTTCGAATACATTAGTGACAGTGACTGACAATAATATTCCATATTACAGACCACATCAGACCGTATTCCATATTTCAGACATAAAGAGACCGACAACAATACTGCACACTCAATAACACACATATGTCATGGTCTTTTAATGGCTAGAATAGATCACTGAACTAAAATGACCGAGGTCAGTATTTTGTATTTTAAGGAACATGCCGTTTCACGTAATCCCTGACTCTGATCTGAATGGCAAAATGGGAGTAATCTCGTAGGTATTTGGTCACCTTGACCATATAAACGTCACACAAGGTCGCTGATCTTAGTTGAACACCACTGACCTTTTGCTTGGCACAGGTATCTAGCTTCACGCCGGTTGCATTAGGAGGTCTGGGCCATTTGCGACACCAATCTAGAGTTTGATATTACCTGACCTCACCTGATCCCAAGGTCATGACGTATGAGCCTAACATTTTGACACAAGTGGATCTATGTACGGGCCAACCTACCCTATAATTGAGGTGTTTCTAGCAGGGATGAAAAAGCTTTTGATTTACCGGATATGATCGCTGACAAAAAATAACACTTTTGCGAGCCAGTTGGTGACAAAATAACGAAAATGTAAACCAATTTCATTAGACCATACAATATTACCACTTACTATCCCAGCTTAACGAAACTCAAGGTTTGGCATTGGTCCATGCTTGTTAACACTTGCAGCGTGATCATGTGTAGAACACATGCCGAAGCGTCGGCGATTCACTGTATCAACAAATTCAATCATAAGATGCTGCCAAATGTAGTAGCTTTAATCAGGATAGTTTTATCAAGTACCAGAAAGATATTACAAACTATGCTATATTAGTGCTGACGCCACAGATCAGCGGTGACACGGTGCTTTTCCAGTGCCCCTCAGATCGGTGCTCTTCACAGATTTTGCAGTCAAGACTCACTTCACATACCACACAGTATAAAAAAGCAAATAACCAGGCTTATTACTAGTTGTAAGGATCGCGGTTCGCCGCAGCATCTTGCGACGGACGTGATCAGTTTGCTACGCAGCGTTTTAAAGCGTCGTGCCATTGGAGACACTGTTCGTTGTGTTCATGTCGTGAGAAGCTGACTGGCTAGAAGTCCGTAGCTAATCGTCGTCTTTTTAATGCAATAACGTTAAAAAGCCTTGCCGATTTACGAGGATTGTTGTGTGGATATCTGAGCTGTAACTCCAGAGATAAACGGAGGACGTCGGAGCGACACATCTAAGATATTCATCCGGGGCTTTCTGCTGCTGAGAGTAACAGCGGTTTTGAGGTAAGAGACCGAGCATCACTATTGTAGGCCTCTCACATTGCCCGTTGCGCTTCTGGCTTAGCGCACTGATCGGTGAACAGGCATGAGACAAAACGCTTTTTACTTTCATCATATTACATATAAAGCTGAGTGAGGGCGTTTGAGGTATTAAAAAAGGTGCTGCTGTTTGTATCTATATATACCAATTTTGCATGGGTTTTGCTCTAAATGATTCGGACTACGTTAGAATGTGTGAGTTCTGCACCGGTAATGGTTATGCGAAAATAGTGTAGGTCGCCCGCGCGCTCACCTGATGCACAATGACGCCATACAACCAAAGGTGACATTGTAGTCATGTGCTTGGAGAACCATGCTGTCGGTAAATCTAGGACCACAGGGATGCAGTTTTGCAAAATACGTAGGGTTGAAGGATGGAGAAAAGGGGATAAGAAAAAAATGACTGAACCTGCCTCCAAAATGCACTCACAACAGTTTTCTCAACAGATTTGACGCACTTTCTTTTCACAGTTGAGAACAAGGGTGTAGTTTCTGGAAATTGGCTTGGGAGGTCACCCCCTAAAAATAACCAATGATGAAAAATAATGCCTAAAAATGATAACTAAAAACAGGAAACTACATCCATAGGAGACACAATCCCCTCCATTATCTGAATAGGAAACTGCACGTCTCCAAGCTGATTATGTTAAGCATGTCCTTATCTGATAATTGTATTTTTTAAGCCTTAACCGTCATGCACTGCTTAATGGGCAGCAAATGATACTTAAATGCAAATGAACTAACGAACCAAAGATGTTTGATGGTTACGCCGCATTGCATCAAATTTGTCTTTGTTCTGTGGTTTACTGCATTTAAAGTTATATTGCAACGGTTTCTGTGAGATTCGGCTGCAGGTGACAATTTAGACGGTTCCAAATTTCGTCGGTGACAGAGAAGGCACTTTTCTCAACCCCGATTTTAAGCTATCTTAGTTTTTGAGATTTCAGGGGTCAAATTGAGCCCCTTTCCCGAGCAAAGGGTACTCAGCGGCCCCCGGGCGCATGCTAATCAAAGTGAATACCGCACCCCAATATTCAGTTTGGGTACGTATCCTAATAGCTTGGTTAGTGTCAAAACCAAAGATAATTACAAACCTGACATCAAAACGAAGGACAGCCCCGGAGTCATTTATAACTAAGCAGTCCGTCTCCTGAGTTCTGTCCTGAGTCCTGAGTGGCTGGTCCACTCTAGCAAGGCCAGTTTTTACACCCACAATCGATCATAGCGACACCACCCCACGAGCGAGGGCGAGAGCTACGACGAACCCAAAACGCCTGCAGCGGTACCAATCATCGGAATGAGGGCGTGGCGTTCCACGCCGCCCAAGGCTCTAGCATGCATAGCTTACAAAGGGCCGGCGGGGGCAGCGGTGGTCGATGCAGTTACCGGCCGATCTTGGAGGACAGGCAGCGGGTGAGGGATAGCTCACCTGGTGAGAGGCGGGATGAGCTCACCTCTCAGGAGGCGAGATGACTTACCTGGTGAGAGGCGGAGATGGCCCCCCGGTGGGAGGTGGGATAGCCCACCTGGTAAGAGGTGGAGATGGCTTACCTGGTGAGAGCGGAGATGCCTCACCTGGTGGGAGGCGGGATAGCCTACCTGGTAAGAGGCGGAGATGGCTCACCTGGTGGGAGGCGGGATAGCCCACCTGGTAAGAGGCGGAGATGGCTCACCTGGTGGGAGGCGGGATAGCCTACCTGGTAAGAGGCGGAGATGGCTCACCTGGTGAGAGGCGGGATAGCCCACCTGGTAAGAGGCGGAGATGGCTCACCTGGTGGGAGGCGGGATAGCCTACCTGGTAAGAGGCGGAGATGGCTCACCTGGTGGGAGGCGGGATAGCCTACCTGGTAAGAGGCGGAGATGGCTCACCTGGTGGGAGGCGGGATAGCCTACCTGGTAAGAGGCGGAGATGGCTCACCTGGTGAGAGGCGGGGACTCACCTGTCGAGAACTGCGGCCCGGTGGAGGTGCCGTCTGCAGACCCCCGTCTGACTCGGCCAGGTCGGGGTCGGGTGGCCAGGGCCGCGGTGGCGCCAGCGGTTGGTGAACGCCGCCCTGAAGAGCGCTGTCGCCATATTCCTGTGCTACCTCTGCTAGCGGGGGAAAATCCGGTCTCAGCGGTCTCCATGCGCCCGGATCAGTCCCCATCAGCGCGCAGGCGTCGCACTAGTGGCATTGCGTTCCAGCAAGTTCGCGCATGTAGTAGAACGAAGTTGCTACGAGTATCGACATTTTGACATCCCTATCCGTGTTGATATATTTTTGTCGTCATTCGGACTTTACGATGCACTCAGCTGCTGAGGCTATGTGGCGTCGCCTGCCTCTCCCGCCGGCAGGAAGGGCGGGCACCGCGGGGAATCGAACTCCGAGCCTCTGGTTTCCCAGACGCGCAGTGATTAACGCAGACGTATTACCCGCCACATTATCAGTACCCTTATAAGCCTCATGAGGCCATTACGAAATGCTAAATAAACAAGTATAAACTATTGTCTGCACTCACTGACAAGTGGCTACATCAAGCGAGCTTTTGTCGCATCGAAATTGTGTTTCTTCGAATGCTGCCTCCGAGTGTCTGGATCTAAGCTTAAAAGCCATGGGTGCTTTATTTCCCCGACCGCGCGATGCATTCCAAATACGCGGTGGCGCCAAAACAAGCTCAGAAGTTTGCAGTTGGCCAAAGAAGTCAGCACCTCAGGGCGGCTGCTGTTGACAGCTCACCTTTGAAGTGCAAATGATTCCACAGTTAATACATTACTGACAAATTTCGAACGAAGTTCGCTAGTTTATTTCCAACTTTGCACTCACTGCATATAAGAAAGCGCGTTCAAGTCGCTAGTTTAGGAACCCGAAAGTTCGGAAGTAGTTGGTGAGTCTCCAGCGGAAGGAGACACTTCTGGGCGTTTTATTAACTTCTCGGAGCACCTCCAAGAATGGATGCCGCAAACGTTTTGACGCAGCCGAGGCGGTGAGCGGTTTGCTGAGGGTGTTGCTGCTTAAATCTATTGGTCCATCGGCTAAAAGACAGCCCAACATTTTCTATAAATGCCTAGTGTCGTGGGAGAACCCAGCCATGCCTGATTGGCATAGCTATAAATCGCACCGCCACTGCTTCATCAAAAGTAAACCATATGGATTCACACCAGTTCAGCAATATAGATCCCTGATGTAGCATGTCCATATGCTACGCGCGCAAATAGGACGAACTACAAACAGCCGCGGCGTGAGCGTCACGAAGTGGTAGACACAGGCGAAAGTGAAGACGACGCTCATATTTTTACGCCTCTTCTTGTGTCTTCTGGTGAAGCCAAGGACGGCTAACCTGGTGACAGGCGCTGTCGCAGGCCACCTTCCCCTCCTTCCCCGTCCCGGTGTCTGCCCCTCGTTCTCATCCTTCGCTCTCGAGCAGGCGTGTACCTTGTTTGTCCGCCGTCCGCGAGCGGCAGTGGCAGACGAGGCCAGCTGTGAGCGCCAGCAGCAGCAGGCCGCCCAGCACACTGCCCACGATGGCGTACAGTCGGGCCCGGGAGCGGTCCACCCCTCGGCTCGTGACGACCGGCACCAGAGGGCGCCGCGCCTCCACGGACGAGCCCGTCTTCGCCGCGCCCTGGGCAGCTGTCCACACAGGGGTACTGTCAGGGGTGTCCACAGGGGCGCCATCCCGCCAGCGATACACGCTGCCCACAGGGGCGCCCCAGGGATCCCCGCTGTTCACACGAGGCGTCTCAGGGATCCATGCTGCAAACAGGTGGAGCACGCCAATGTGATGGAAACATGGTGTACGCTACGGGACAGTCTACATCACAGGGATATTTGTGACGAACGGTGCAGCAAACATGCGGTGCCCTGCGTGACAGGCTAACTTGCAGGGTGCTGGTCCCAACCGGATTTGTACCGTCTTCCTGTTACCACTGTGCGTAAAATTCTGGCGGTCTGGCGGGATGGCGCTCAGCGGCAAAAAAAGGATATTCACCAAGTCGAGTTATCAACGTGTTCGACGTACTGGACACCGCTCGGCGTTTTCGCGTGAGCTCGGTGTAATGCAATGTGCTCCAATGACGTGTCATGCGCACAACAACACGAACAGCCTTTACACTGAACTTCTTTACGCCCCTTCCGTACCCCCAGCCTCCCCAGCTTCCTCCAAAGAAACGGACACATAAGCCTCGAGGGTTGAGCCGGCGGCCGGCTCACCTCCCGTGCGCTCGGTGACGATCGGCGAGAACTCGGACACGCCGCCCGCCAGGTTGAACGCCTGCACCTTGATGTCGTAGGACGTGGCCGGCAGCAGCGACGTCAGCGTGTGCGTCTTGGTCGTCTCGCCCAGCACTGTGACCTGTAACGGCGATCCTGTCCAGCTGATCACGCTCAGCGATGCGTGTCATTCACGCTCTGGCATGGTTCAACTTCCAAGCACGAATTCTGGAATCAACCACTGTGCCAGCTTAAGGCATTGTTTGGGTGCATATAGCGAATGAACATCAGTGGCTGACGGACTGGACGCGACGCCGAGTGCAACGGGCATCGTGGGAACATCCGGCGAGACAGTGTATGCCCTAACGTTTCAACTGCTGGGACATAGCAGTCTCTTGTAAGTTAACAATATTGTAAGCTCAGACTGAAGCTCACACAAAACATGCGCAATATATGCTCTTTATCAAAATGTCCTTCAAAATATCTGCAGTCTTGATAGCTCTTTATTATCCCCTAAGGTATTTTAAAGCCACCTCTTGCTGAGCATTGCAAAACGTCTAACTAGCAAAAAGCCGGGCTAAAACACTTAGAGCTGAACGGGCTTATCATCATGACCATCTTCATCATCTATTTACACGCGCCCGGGTGGCCGGTTGGATACCCTTCGCTCGGGTGGGGGGGGGGGGGGAATTTGACACCCCTAAGATCTCAGGAACTAAGAGAGCTAGAAACGCCAAATTCACAGGGTGTGTTGACCTGTACGTGAACTCACTTTAGTCAAAATTTACGGTTCCTAGGTCATGACCTTCTGGTCAAATAGGGTCAAACAAGGCCAAATCTTGTATTTCCAAATCCTGTATTTCACATTTTCACAGCGTTCGCTCAAAAGAAAAGGGACAGCGGTCATAAAGGCCAAACAAGGCCAAGGTCGGTCTTCAAAGGACCCTAGAACCTAGATAACTGTTCTAAGGAAAAGGTCACATGCTCATCTAAGGTCAGTGACCTTGCTTGACCTTTTGAAGGTCATGGTGGCCAAAAAAATACAACACCTCTTTGGGTTTTGCATTTGGATAACCTGCAAACATTACGCCAGACGGTATGTTCCTAAAAAAATGTTGACCCGGGTCATTCTAGGTCAATGACTTATTCTGAACTTTGAGAAGTCTATGGAAGGTATATAATGCGGTTACTGCTATCAATAACTTCGAAATAAGCACTAGAAACTACCCCATACAGCAATCGCAAGAGTATCAAAACAGGTTGGTTTTAAGCATGGTCTGACCTTCATACCTGACCTTAGATCAATCTGATCTGTTCATTCAATTGTTGTGTTGCCTACAAAAGTATCTCACAGGTGTATGTCTTCATTTAACACTCCGTTGATAGATCGGATTAAAAGATTCCCTAGAAACTGTCTTGGCTGAAATCATGGCCTGACTTTGACCTGCCACAGGTCAGTGACCTTACAAGGTACATCTAAATTGCTGTTGCCAGACGATCCGCTATTCAATTTTCCATCCTATGAGAAATTTGGCGCGGCTACGCCGTGCCATTCGTAACTCATTCCGGAAAAACCTTCAGGGGGGGGGGGAGGAATTTGATCCCCCCACTCGAGCGCGTGTTAAACGTCCTGGCGGACAACATACAATGGGAGAACATCCAACTATTTGGACGATAAAACAAAACAAAATGAGCAAAAACGAACGCACCGAAGGACGCCCGTACCGTAAAAATGTAACAGTAAAGCATGTTTTGTGACAGTAAAACATTCTGAAATCTTGGAAGGACTGCCCTTAGCGTTGTGTCAAAGTTTAAATTGCATGTAACGAAATTCCGCACGTCACACAGAATAGCACGCACACATCACAAACTGTTGTGGGCGCAAAATGACCTCAGTAGTCGGCACGTCCCAAAACTCCAATCAACAATAAAACGCACATCGCACTTACGCACTTACATTCAGTCCAAATGGCATGAAAACATGAACAGTCGTCGACCACCGGTTAAAACGATATATATATATATATATATATATATATATATATATATATATATATATATCAGATGTGTGGTTCAATAGACAGCGAGCGGACATTTTAACTATGTTATATAACAACCGCAGACTACTAGCGTCGCGCCCAAAGCGCAGGAGAGCCTAAGGATGACTCGATACTGAGGATGCAAGGCATTGTCGGGGCACTTGACAAGGCGACGAGGGAAAATGTACCGTCACCAGTCACCAATCATTACAAACGGGTTAATATTGCTTAAACTTGTCCACCAACCCACCGATCCGCCATGACCGCCAATCTAGGCTTAACAAGTTATCATAGTTTTAGTGGCCGATTAGGCTGTCACAATCAGAACATTTTGGCAAAGGGCTCACCTGTTCCTGTATTTCATATTTTCACAGCGTTCGCTCAAAAGAAAAAGGACAGCGGTCATAAAAAATGCAAGGGTTGCCCAATGCAATAGACAATTTTGCTGCTGCATAACTGCGTTGATATGGACAGTGATAAGTTCGTTTTGTCCACAGGTGAATATACTCTGCCATTTTTGGGGCATGTGCAGGGAAAAGGAAAGCACGTTTGTTTAGTTACCCTTTCTGCTTAGATGTGTCAGACGGTCTAATTGACGCATCCATGGGCGTTCATATCTTTCTAGCCAAATGTAGTTATATATAAACACATGCACTATGCGTCATTCGTGCGAACCCATTAACTTGATCAATGAGTCGTGGATAATGTGTTATGACAAGGAGCGGACGGCGGGACTTCGTTCGGTGTTGTGGCCTTTCGCGGGCCGCGCTGGACCTCGTGTGATGCTGTGACCTTTCAAGGACCCGGCCGCCGCCACCGGTCGCGCGACGCAGCGATCTTCAACCCAGCCGGCCCATCCTGGGAGCAGCGCGGCGGTTCGCAAACACAGCTCTGACTTCAAGGGAGACGGTAGCATGCCAGTGAAGCGCTGCTTAACACGGGCTGGACAGGTAGCAGGCCCTGCTCGCCGTGCGTCATCATCTGACAGACAGGCTCATGCTGTGGCTGAAAGTCACTGTCGCATGTGCAGTGCCATTTTGGTTTTAAACAACGATGTGCCACTTTTGGTGAAGAAAAAGGTGCAATTTCACGATGAGTAAGTATATTAGGTGCACGGACACAGAGGGGAAAAGAAAACTTAACGGCGATGCTTGTAATTTTCCAGTGACCCTGAATATGACAATACAGGCGAGGCATTTCGCCACCAACAGGTGCTTGCAAATTTCTTCTGAACACTCCACCCACGGTACAGTGCCATCTAATACGCCAAGCGTCAGCTTTGCGGACGGAATGCTGCCGCCTTCCACTTCAATGAATCAACCGCACCAAATAGCGCTCGTGCAGCCAGTGGGTCGCTGAGGCCTGCAAGGCGAGCCCCACGGTTGCAGGCTGTGTACAGCATGCATCAATCTCGCGCAAGGATCAGCGCCAGTTGGACCACAAAGCCCCGCACGACTGCTGCGGCTCGGCGGCGGCTCCAGCTGGTCCAGCAGGCCCGACATAGACCCACAGAGGATTACACGGGCGCCCCGGGGCGTCTGCGTGGTTCTTTTGGACACGGATTGGACGTATTTCAGTCCGTTTTCACGGCACGTTAGAATCTATTTGACGACTGCACTCAATTCCTGAAGTCATAAAGTGTTATGCCTTATTTCGCCGAGCCTAAGGTACTGTACTGAACCGTCCATCCGAGCATGTGATCAGATCCAGCGGCTGTCTGAACATGTGATCAGATCCAACCACTGCCTGAGCATGTGATCAGATCCAACCACTGCCTGAGCATGTGATCAGATCCAGCGACTGTCTGAACATGTGATCGGACCAAGCGACTGTCTGAACGTGTGATCATGAGGAGACCGGGGCACAGCCGCTTCGGAGCCGAGTTGACCCTAGCCATAACCAGAGAGCTGTAGGATCTGGCTGAGCGTCAACACCAGAACACCTGCAACTGATGCTTGATTGCTCCATGATGGTGGGATGCATGGTGTCCCCCCTCCCCACAACCTCACTCCAACCATGGGACTGTGGGCCGACCATGGGGTAACCCACCTGAGGCGACAGTTCAGCAACGTCCGTCCGGGACCTTGAACACTTCCCTGAATTGAAATGTGGTAGGCCGTGGCTTCTGTTATGTAAATAGAGCCGCCACACCGCAAAATAGAGGTTGGGCAGGGACGTCGAAGAATGCAGACTGAGGTACCATGGCAGTGAGTAAGTGTTAAGCCACCACAGCACAGGGGTTGGACGTGCACACGCAGTGTGAGGGTAGACGCTCGGGTCGAGCTGTCTCACGGCCACATAAGGCAGAGCTAGCGCGACGAGCAAGGTTGACGACTGGCTGGGGGTACCGTTCGGCATCGATGGAGTGAAGCTGCGCCCACAGTTCGTGCAAACAGACGTCAGAATCACGGGAGAAGTGTGTTTTGCCTGGAGGCATTCACGGGTATGATCTTTGTTACCCAATCCACCCGCTACCTATGAAGCTATGCGCGTACTCACCGCTACCCATTCGTAATTAGTTGTACCCATCCGCTGGCCACCCAATTGCATTTTTCAAAGACTCACGTTCAAAAGTATGGAAGAGTTTCGAGGCATACTGTTTTGTGTTGGTTATCGTGACAGCAGTGCAAATGGAGCTAATTGTGGCGGAAAGAAGTGCGAGCGGTATTTTTAAGCTTTAAAGTATATACATATATATATATACATATATATATATAATATATAGTATATATATATATATATATATATATATATATAATAATTATATAAAAATTTATACACATAATCAATATAAATATATCGGCGTCGCATCTCATCGTGCATGCGTGCGTGCTGCGTGCGTGCGTGTGTCTCCTCCTCCGTTCGTCCGTGTGTGTGTGTGCTGCTGTGTTGTGTGGTGTGCTGTGTGTGTCGTTGTGTGGTGTGTGTGTGGTGTGGTGGTGCGTGCGTGTGTCGTGTTGTGTGTGGTTGTGGGGTGTGGTGTGGTGGTGTGTGTGGGTGGGGTGGTGGGCGTGTGCGTGTGCGCTGTGTGGTGCGTGTGCGTGTGCGTGTGGCGTGGCTGGCGTGTGCTGCGTGTGCGTGTGCGTGCGTGCGCGTGCGCGTGCGGTGCGTGCGTGCGTGCGCGCGCGTGTGTGTGTGTGTGTGTGTGTGTGTGTGTGTGTGTGTGTGTGTTGTGTGTGTGTGTGTGTGCGTGTGTGCGTGTGTGTGTGTGCGGTAATCTCTCCAGGATGTCGAAGCTTCCCGACTTTTCGGAAACGGCATACCCATACCTGTACCCGTGCCCTGGATTTTTCATGAGTTGTAAGTTTTTACGCATCTATATCTTCATTGTCCTGGTTTTTCTCCCAGGAACGAGACTCACCACTGTCTTATCTGCCCTGGATTTTCCCAAAATACATAGCCAGCCCAGTCTGTTACCCATTTCAGATGACTACCCATGAGTTTGCCCACCCCTGAAGTCCTGTAGTTTCACCGATGGAGTCACAACGAGGAACATTAAACTTCAATCAGCTTATGATATTGCCATCATGCTGTAACATAAAATGCTGCTGCTAAATTACGGCGCCCTTCGATACCCCATCCTGTGAGACGGCGCGCCTGCGGCGGTCGTTCACTTAGCGACTCTGGTGTGTGCACTACACCGTGCAGCCGAGTGTGTCATCGGATTAGGCGACCGCCTGAGCATGTGATGGAGTTCGATCGTTCCCCTGAACGGCTGGTGGGAATGGCATGTGATGGACGAGGCTAAGCAGGAGAGAGAGATAATGGTGATGTAGTTGTAGTGCCGACCAACTAACACTAAGTAGTAAACCTAGAGTTTGCGCCAATAGTATGCCCGAGCTACGTAAGCTGAAGGCACGTTCTAACCCGTCAAGTAAGCAAAGGTTTGCATAAACACAAAGCAAGGCAGCCAGCACGTTCTGCAGTAGTCACCTGTAGATTGCGGAGCAGATAAACAGACGAAAAATCAAACCGCAACCCTACTGCATTACATGAAAATGACTTCAAATCTACCATTGCCATCTCCCTTCCAGCTGTTAACGAGGCCCCACCGCCGTCGGTCTCATGGTAACACCCCGCGGCAGCCACCCCAGTCCGCCCCGTCCCCCGTGCTGCGAACCCGCGCGCTCGCCGCCGCTAGCCGCCCCTATCTGCTGCACGGAGCACCCGAGCTCCAGCTGCTGCTTCTACCGCTGCGAGTCCACCTCGCGGCCGTCCCGCCCCAGCCCCGCAGCGCTCCCGAGCCCCCGGCCGCCGCTCCGGCGTCCCGGCCGCAGACTCCGTGTCCGGCCTCGAACGGCGGGCCGGCTCGCCGCCCAGCCGCGGGCGTCTCGACAGGGCGGGACTGCACAGGTGGATGATGCGCTCGCCGCCCAGCCGCGGGCGTCTCGACAGGGCGGGACTGCACAGGTGGATGCCGCGCTCGCCGCCCAGCCGCGGGCGTCTCGACAGGGCGGGGCTGCACAGCCGAGCGCCGGCTCGCCGCCCAGCCGCGGGCGTCTCGACAGGGCGGGACGGCACAGCCGGACGCCTCTCTCGCCGCGCACAGTCGAGCCGCCGCCGCGCCAGCGCCACAGTCTGTGTCGATGCAATGCGATATACCTTCGCCGAGGGTGTCCCGCCGGGACGGGTACATCGTGTTACAGAGAGTGGGGTGAGGCAGGCTCCGGGGCTAAATAAGACAAATGGACACTGTGGACAACTGTTTGTGAATCGCACGGCCGATGGAAGACACGGGAAAATATGCAGGCAGTTGTCTTGTGCTATTCCATCACGAGACGAGAGTAGGGCAAGCTTTTCCGCATATTTGACCAACAGTGCACTTGCTCACTGCCTATATATGTTCTGAGATTTTCAGAGATATTGGGTAATACGCATGCATAGATCCGCCTAATGCCAAACGAGACAAGAATATGGTATTAACAGAGACAACCACAGCGGATTCATGGGATCCAAATGGTTCACCCCATGACCGCAGTATGTGGAGGGAGAATGCCCACTAATTATTTACAGAAGCAGAACGCATCGGCAAATTGTTGTTTTATTAAACGCACACCAAGTGGCAGTACGCTGGCCCGATTCATTTAAAACCTTTCTGTAGTTTAACACGATTCCTCCTAACGCTATCTTAAATCTGTGAAGGGCATACCGTGTGTTGTGTGCGGAGGAGAGAACGTGATAGTGGTACTCTCAGTTAGCGATACTTTAGTGCACCAGTGAACACAAGCGAAACTGACAACATTGCAGATCATAGGGAATTGTATTAAAGAGCATTTAGATAGATGAAATATATTAGAGGTGAAAAACAACTTTTGAGCTGAAAATTGTAATCTTATTCTAAGTAAAGATAAGCCTTTTGGATGACACAATTTCTTTATTTGCAAATGTTTTTATTCGGCTGTTCAAGGGTCGTGGTTAGTTTAAGGGACCTCGGGTGAACCATGGCACCGCCATTCCAACACTCCCAGGGTTGGAGACTGCCCTCCTCGGAGACGGATCGTACGGCAGCATTATCTGACCGCTGCATCCTCTCTGAGTACCTTGGCAAAGGATGTGGACCGCCCGCCCCCTCATTCAAGAACCCGCCGATCGGGGAATAAATGGTGTGAGCGATAAGCACGCACTGCCCCGTGTATCGCGCTTTGCCAAACGCCGTACAGGTCATTCCAACATTGCGACACGTGTAGGGTATGAATCTCAAACGCTCAACATAACTCGATGTGCACCATACACACTTTTTGATAGCCACTTAGTCCACATTTAAGCAAAACATCGCCAATACGTGACTCGCTTTTTTAATGCTTCGGTGGGAACACAGCGCAAACGATGCGTCTCAGATGCGGTCAAGAGCCAAGCAAGAACAGCCCGCACCTGGCCCAATTCTCGTCTGGATGACGTTTTTATTACTAAAAGCTTTCCGTTATTAGCTCAGCTGAGTCCATTAACTATTCGTAAGCATCTGCGTCTGAGAACGGCCGCCGAGGGCCACTAACCTTGGAGTAGTCTCCTGCCGTTGTGGTGTCACGGTAGTAGATGAAGTAGCCCTCTATCGGTGATGCCTGCAAGTTGTAGTACATCCACGAACACCGGATGCCATTGGGACCCTCTGAGCTATGCATGGTGATGATGGGTGCTCCTGGAGGCTTTGACTTCTTACTCATGCGGATAATCTTGACTTTTCGTGAGTTTGGTCCGTGTTTGTTGTCTTTATTTTCGTAAACAGCTAGCACGCGGAATCTGTGAACAATGAAACCGATATCATGTCACTTGCATACCGCCACACTTGCCTAAGCAGATGCTTCCACCACATAAGACATCATTATACGAAAGTTTACAGACCACAGACGACCCTTTCATCCTCTATCTTGCTTCATGCTGCATCCTCGCAACACCCCGTTTGTCCGGGGCAGGCTGCACGCGTCAGCCACGAGTGGGCCGAGAGCCCCGTGGGAGGGGGGACCCCAACCGGATACCAAGCGCATATGCGGGGGTCAAAGCTCGGCGGTTGGTCCGCCAGGAGCATGCAAGTCTGCTCCATCATTAACCACTTTTCTTCATCCCACAGACCTGAAATGATTGTTTCTGGTCGAAATGGCTCTAATCCAAACAACCAAACTTACAGCTGCCAGCATTTAGTATATTAAGAAAAGCTCCCGAAACGGGCTTTAAGTTCCTCGAAGCTGAGATCATAACACACCCTTTAGCAAGTCGAACAACACACAAACGCCCCAGCCACCAACAAACCGACTCAACAAGCGCGTCCGGACCGCATCGTAGCCGCCCAGGACCGCCACCGCCGGGAGACGAGACAAACAGCGCACTCACTTGTACTTGGCGCCGAGCTGCAGCTGGCCGACCTCGAACGAGCGAGCCGTGCCGGGCACGTCCGAGTCGAGCGTCTGCCAGGCGTGCAGACGCCGCGGCGCGCGCCGGTACTGGATCTTGAAGAAGAGGATGGCCAGGCCGTCGTTGGGCGGCACGTCCCACTGCAGCATCACCGAGCTCTCCGAGATGGGGTACACGCGGGGCGCGCCAGGGGGCACCATCAGCGCTGCCGGACACACGGGTCGGGTCACGTCGGGTTGGATTGACTCGGACAAGATGAGATAAGATCAGGTCAGGTCAGATCAGGTATGGCCGAGTCTGGTCAGCTTAAATCCGCTCGGATCGGTCCGGCCCGGTTTTGGTTTGGTTTGGCTTGATTTGGTTCTCACCGATCTGGTCTGGTCTCGTCTCCCTCCCCCACCGTGCGAAACCCCCCCTCTCCTCCCACCGTGCCCAACCGCGCCTCTCCTCTCATACGTGCTCAACACCGCCTCCCCCACCGTGCTCACCCTCGCCTGCCCTTCTGGCGCCGTGACTGCGCCGGTGACTGCCAGTGTGACGGGGCGCTGGGGACGCCGGTGATGTAGGCATGGCTGTCCGGGACGGCAGCACGTCCAGCGATACGGTCGTCTTCGGGATCACCTGCCGGACAAGAGCAGCACGCTTTTTCCAGCTCTGAGGCACGGCTGAGGGCGTGCGCTGGGAACTGCCGGGCTCCAAAAAGCAGCTGACTGAAGAGCCGATTCGTAATAAGAAGGTGGTGCGACACGCCTGCTCATTATATTCCATACGTCTTTGTGACGCATGGACGGGCGCAAAACTGCATTCCGCAAACAGGGCAGGTATGGGCAATAACGCTAGGTGAAACCCGCACCGCAAATTTCTTACAGAGCGTGTCTATATTCAGCGGATGCAGAAAACTCGCGGCAAGCCTCACTGTGCATCTACTGCGGCAGTGACTCTGCGCTGGTGACAAGCCAGCGCAGCAGCGCAACCGGCCGCTGAGCCGCTACCTTAAGAAGCACGGCGGTCTTGGCATGGCCCGCCTCACTGCGGCCGAAGCACTGGTACAGGCCGGCGTTCTCCCGAGTCACGGCGTCGAACAGGAGCCGGTCGCCGTCCAGCCGCGGCCGGCCGTCTCCCACCAGCGGCCGGCCGTCCAGCACCCACTCGAGCCGCGGCGGCGGCCAGCCGCGGCCCGAGCAGCGCAAAGACGCCGGTGAACCCTCGGGCACCGTCAGGTCCGAGGGCGAGGTGTCCACCGTTGGCGGTTCTGGTGAGGAAAGCGAGCGTCAGGTTAGGACAGCCGGCGAAGCCTCTACCGACGGTGCATTTGGAGATAGGTCAGATCAGGTCGGGTCGGGCGAGGAGAGTTTAGGAGAATTCAAACAGCTCCAACACAGGAGCCATACCAGACCAGCCTGAGCAGCCCAAACCTAGCGCCTATCACGCTGGCCAGAGCCCGCCTGACAGCCGCGTCTTACGGTGCGGATATCCCTCACCTGTGACGCGCACGGCAGTGGCGGCGGTGAGCGACCCCTCTGAGCCGGTCACATCGCACGCGTAGTCGCCCTCGTCGGCGGCCCGCAGCCGGGAGATCTCCAGCCGGCCGGCCAGCTGCACGTAGCGGTCCGACCAGCGGTCGTCCAGCCGCCTCCAGGACACGGCGGGCAGCGGCCAGCCCTCCGCCGCGCACTCCAGTCTGCGAAGCGCACCGGCGGCGGTCAGAGCCGGTGCGCAGGGGCACGCGTCAAGCGAAATGCGCGTGTGTTTGAGCGCGCGTCATTGGGGATTTACGATGCGTCTTGCAGCCAAGGCTATATGGCGACGCCTGCCTGCCTTTCTCGCTTTGACCAGAGGGGCGGGCACTGCGGGAAACCAAACCCCGCATCTCTAGTTTCCCGGCGTAGCAGCTTAACCACTGCACTAGCGGTAACCCCAAGTGAAATTCGAGCGCGCTCATGAGCACGGTTTGGTGTTGTGAAGGACATCGTGTCTAAGGGGCACCGTGGCAGCCTTTGCCGTGTTTTTTTGTTTGCCTTTGAGGGGTATGGAGTCAAGACAGCCTACAAATTTGATCAAACGAGAGGATCAGGTTAGAAAAAAAATAATCGAATTCGATTACACGTCCATCAACTTTTCCAGTACATCAGAGCAAAGCGGCTGGCAAATCTCCGGATTGCGGTAAAGGCTGGCCTAGCCTGGCCTGGCTGGCACATGTCGATAAGGCACGACATTGAATGAACAGCTTTTTACTTTTTGGCACGACTCAACGTCCAAGGCACAAAGCCTCAAACTTGTCGGAAACGTCAACAGACAGAATAAACGCAGCACTAGTGAAGAGCACCTCTTGCATGGAGTTATGGCATCACCACATACCGCTCACACAACATGACCAGTCGCGATGACTGGCTTCTAGAGCAAGCTGAATTTAGGCTGTGGTCATTAGCTGCGAGCCGCTTTGTGCAGACCGGCGGCGTATGACAATAATCAGGTCGAATCTTGGTCAGGCGCGAGTCTGGTTGGAGTTAAGGTGCGGTGCTGGCGATGGGCGGTCGTGAATATAGTGCACCTGAACCCTCGGTGCCTTCGACGTGGCGGCCGTCTAGAACTGGACAGTACGACATGGCCAAAGGAGGCGCGATCTGTGCGGGTGGGGGAGGGGAGCTGACCTGAGGGTGTCCCCGGCTGCGGCGCGGTACTCGACGCGGGGCCGCACTGTCAGCCGCGGCGGCCGACTCTCCGCCGGCCGGCGCACCTCCAGCCGGGTGGCAAACCGTGCTGCCACCTGGTGTCCGGATCGAGGATTACGCGCCGAGCAGGTGTACAGCCCGGCGTCCGCGCTGCTGACGACGGTCAGGAGAAGGCGGCCGCCAGAGAGCAGCACCGCCGTGTCTGGGGACGGGCAGGTGGCACCACCGGGTCAGGCAGACCAGCGGGGCATGCATGGGCACCTCCAACGCAGCGCAGTGATACCGATCTGGGTCCTCAGCCGCCAGAGTACAGCACTAGTTTGTGCACGACAGTCAGTACGAGCTCTAATCCCCTTCAACTGAAGCAGTTTGAATCAGCACACGCTATGTTCAAATTAATAGTGCCACTGGAGCTCGAGTGACGACGAGTCGTCGAGAAGTTTATTCATCAGATGCCAGGGGACGCTTCCGCCGCTTATGTCCTACGTAGGTGCATCATAGCATTATGCAAAGAATAGGTAAGTTTTCGGTCATATCCATTTGGGCAAAATGGCAACAGCCACGGAATGCTACATGGTAATAAATGATCACACGACATGCTTTACACGCGTAAAATCCTATATCCACGGCCTTACGGCGCTGGTAATTTTGGTTGCTTGTGCTACTGTCTGATAAGGTTCCTTTTCACTCTCCGATCTTTTCAAGCCATTGTAAGCCACCTCCTTCTGCACTATGCGTCGCATCCTTATCTGAATTTAATAAAACATAATTAGGGTAGGATATGAGTATTTTCATTGAAACAGAGGGCGTAAATATAATTTGCTGTTAGGACCAAGTAAGTCTAAAGCGACAATAAACAATAGCTAACTAGCCCCCCGTCTCAAGGTCACACTCTCGGCACTCGGTGCCAGTCGGTGATAGCAGCACTCACCCTCCTGCGGCGCTCACTCACCCTCCTCCAGCACTCACCCTCCTCCTCACCCTCCCGCGGCGCCAGGGGCCGGCCGTCGCGGTAGAACTGGACGGCGGCGGGCGGCGCGCTGGCCGGCGGAGGACACGCCAGCGAGACGGAGCCGCCGGGCGGCGCCACCAGCGTCGCGTTCTGCCGCGGCGCGAAGGGCTCTGTGTGGGCCACCTGCACCGAGGCCGGCAGAGAGGCCAGACCGATCGGTGCGATCCAGGCCATGCACTGTCGGGCGGACAGGGCGGATATGAGCGGCGGGCAGGGCAGACACGAGCGGCGGGCAGGGCAGACACGAGTGGCGGGCAGGGCAGACACGAGTGGCGGGCAGGGCGGACGTAAGTGGCGGGCAGGGCGAACATGAGTGGCGGTTACAGCTGATGGCTGGACACGGGTGGTGGTCACGGCTGATGGCTGGACATGGGTGGCGGTCACAACTGATGGCTGGAGACGGATGCCGGTCAGAGCTGATGGTTGGACACGGGTGGCGGTCGCAGCTGATGGGCGGACACTGGTGGTGGTCACAGCTGATGGGCGGACACGGGTGGCGGCCACAACTGATGGCTGGACACGGGTGGAGGTCACAGGTGATGGCTGGACACGGGTGGAAGTCACAGCTGATGGCTGGATACGGGTGGAGGTCACAGCTGATGGGCGGACACAGGTGGAGGTCACAACTGATGGCTGGACACGGGTGGTGGTCACAGCTGATGGCTGGACGCGAGTGGTGGTCACAACTGATTGCTGGACACGGGTGGTGATCACAGCTGGCGGATCTGAGTGATGAAAGTGCCAGACTATGTCAGGCTGGCGTCCACGTGCAGTCACCGACTGACCCTGTACTCTCCGGTATGCCGCCGGTACAGATCCGGATCCTGTCCGATCCGGATCCGCAGCCGGCCCGGTCGCACGTCTATCGTCGGGTCGCTGCCAGGTTCCAGGGGCTGCCAGTCGCGCAGCCATCTAGCGAGAGAAAAAGACACTGCTGACATCAGATTTCACCTCACGATGAGCCCCGGCTGGGTTTGGCGGGCGACGGCACGCCTTGTGCCAACTTGCCAAACGCAAAATGGACCACACGTAAGTTACAGATAGCTGACATGAATGGCTGACACAAAACCGACAAAGCAGGACAGATGGAATGTTTGGAGACATGGAACACCAGCAGTATGTCACCTATCACAACGACTTCTTGGCAGTGATGTGTACAGTTGTAGCACTTCAAAAATGTAGGCTATTAGTAACCCCAGTGGCTTAATTTCGTTTGAGATGCAGAACCACATCAAGCTTGTTTTTCACCTATAGCCTCTAATTCCACCGCTAAGACATCTCTTGAACGCGGCACTCGACAAAGGATTTCACAAACTTCTCTGTTTCGCTCATTCCTTCAGCATTTTGGCAGTCGCTTGCAGCGGTGCATAGACCAAGCACGTCTGGGACGGCCAGCGGCTGGACCAGTGACGCGGTGCTCACCCGAGGTGGTCGACGGCCAGGTTGGTGGCACATGTCAGGACCGCCTCGCCACCAGGCAGCGCCACCACCGACTGCGGCTCCTTCACGAAGAAGATTCCCAGACCTGCGGGTTAGGTGCGGCGCTGTCAACAGTCAAATCCAGGGGGAACGCCGAAAGTGAGCGTGGAGTGCCCAGTGCGGGATGCAGTGTGGGAGTTGGCGCATGGCGTGTCCAACAGCGCGTACTGTAATCGGCAAGAGTTTATGGTAAACAGCAGCTAGGGTATTTTGCCGACAACATCCCGTGTTTACTGTGACCGCACGTAGCCTCATTGCTATCATCACAGCGTGGCTTCAGATTTGTGGGGAGTAGATCTAGCTCCTATTCATTATTGAACACGCCTTAAGGAGAAGCGGTTGGCACCTAACATATTGTTCCAGATATGAAATAACCTCCTTTCTACTGGCTCGGTAAGCATACTGCATGTGATCCATCCTGTCCTGGTTACTGATAGATATGTATGATGCAAGCGTCGACTTGGTTCACCTTTGATGAGACATGTGCACAGGCGTAATAATTGGACATAAAAGTAATCGCATAAAAGTAATCGCGTAAAAAGTAAATGCGTAGAATAGGTTGTCCTTTCACATGCATTAAATTGCCCAAGCCGTCGGTCATTCAGGCATCCGTCGACAGCTTTGGAACAATTTCAGTATCTTATGCCTATTTCCGAGCAAAACTATCATCAGCTCTTGAAGATAAGGCATCATGAAAGTGACGTTTATCATCTAAACTGTTCGTTGTTGAGGGACGGTGCGACGGCTGAAGCGATCTCAGATGAGCGTCAGTCATGTGGAGCGGAAGCTGGCGCGTAGGTGGTGCGGCACACGTGTCTTACAGCACGACACGGAAGCATCGCGCATGTGTCTTACAGCACGACACGGGAGCATCGCGCATGTGTCTTACAGCACGACAAGTGAGCATCGCGCATGTGTCTTACATCACGACATGGGAGCATCGCGCATGTGTTTTACAGCACGACACGGGAGCATCGGGCAAATGTCTTGCAGCACGACACGGGAGCATCGCACACGTGTCTTACAGCACGACCAGTGAGCATCGCGCGCGTGTCTTACAACACGATACGGGAGCATCGCGCATGTGTCTTACAGCACAAGTGAGCATCGCGCATGTGTCTTACAACAGGACACGAGAACATCGCACACGTGTCTTACAGCACGACAAGCGAGCATCGCGCATGTGTTTTACAAAACGACACGGGAGCACCGCGCATGTGTCTTACAGCACGACACGAGAACATCGCACACGTGTCTTACAGCACGACAAGTGAGCATCGCGCATGCGTTTTACAAAACGACACGGGAGCACCGCGCATGTGTCTTACAGCACGACGCGTGAACATCGCGCACAGCTTGAGAACCACGCGGTATGCTCGCCAACGTTTTCACTATCTTACTTCAGCGTACTTGGGTCGCCCGATGCTCTCTTTCGACATGATTAACAAATCAAACGCAATTAAGCAACTAGCTGACCAACAGCTCATTTTCCAAAGCTGCAGCGACGAACATCAACCAGACAATAAGTCTGAGATGCTACAAGCCACCTTGATTGCCGCGCGACTTTCAAAATGGCCTGCAACTCTGCAATCAGCGGCTGCACCAAGCGTCGCTTCTGGTATGCTGACTGTTTCCATGACCCGTCCGCACAGTGATTAGGCTGCACCCAACACATATCTCGGGCGCCTTGGTTGTGCCGACAAAGGCAGCGGTGCCAGAGGCGGCTCCGCCCACCCATCTCCTCACACCTCGGCTCTGGCTCTGGCCCGGCCTCACACCTCGGCTCTGGCTCTAGCACGGCCTCACACAACGGCTCTGGGTCTGGACCGTACCTTACACCTAAGCTCTGGCTCTGGCTCTGACCCATACCTCACATCTCGACCCTGGCTTCAGACCGGGACCTCACACCTCGACTCTGGCTCTGACTCATACCTCACATCTCGACTCTGGCTTCAGACCGGGACCTCACACCTCGACTCTGGCTCTGACTTATACCTCACATCTCGACTCTGGCTTCAGGCCGGGAGCTCACACCTCGGCCGATCCCCGACACGGCGGCTGGCGAGCCGGACCAGCCGACAGGCGGCAGGCGGCAGGCGGCGGCGCCAGCTCGGCCGCTGACAGGCTGACGGGCAGCTGCAGGCGGAGCCCGCTGCTGGATGGGTACCACACCAGGCAGCCCTCTCCATCAACACGGCATGTGGCGAGAGGTATCGTACTACGCGACTGCGGGGCGTTGAGTCCAGACGGCAAAAATAACTGAGGGTTGATGATGCTCCATTTCGCAGGGCTGAACCGCTGTGAGAAGCGGCGGGGGATCAAATAAGAAGAAAATTGTTGCATGCAGAATGTACGATGCGCTTCACATCAGGCCACTGGAGAGGTGTCACTTCAGCAGGCTCAGTAACATCCGCCCGGATCACATTGCTACAGATACACACCCGCATGTGTGACTCCTGTGCGACGATGCGGATCGGATGCGGATGCGGATCCTATGTGGATCCTATACCTATGTGTCTCGATCTTACCATCAGAGTCGCACATGATCCATACTTATGCGCCTTGTACTCTGCGCCTGTCTTGGCCACGACGTGCCATCCGGGTTGTAGTTCAACCACGTTTGTTCCAAGGCTGCCTGTCTATCTTGTCTGTTCCGAAGTGACTGTTGCTGTCTTGGGCGGCCTGTCTGCGTGCGGGATCAGTCAGCTTGTTTGTGTCTATCCCAAGACAATTTATTCACTTCTCTGTCGCCCAAGGGCGATGCTGCGATCTTGTTGGAGGGTGGAAAGCTCTGTATTCTTGAGGCCCCGACCATGCAAAGGCTTCCTCGGGCTAACTGACTTTTCAATATGTTCCGGCTGATTGTGCTTGTAGCGACTTTGTAATGCAATGTTTAATTATGTATGTGCATAATTTCCGGTCCTGCCGACAGTGACAAAGTCGTTTATGTTTCCTTACACCCAAAGTCATATCTCACTTGTCCGAGGCACGGGTGACTGTCAGCCGTGCCAGATATATGCGAATTGATTTAACATCGTGCCTACCCAACGGACGTTGGGGGCCGCCTTTTTGGCAATGATATGTGGGAACATAGCCATCATGTGTGGGATTCTACGATCTCAGTGCAGCTCTAGCTTTCAGAGAATTGCGTAAAACCATCCAACAAGTCTGCATGACTTATCCCATTATTGCTGGCAAGCATGTGCCTGGATCCCGAGGGTGGATCCAGCATTCCATTAGGCTCCTTGCTTATGGGATCCTGGGATCCCTTTCCGGAACTTCAGGCACATGTCCCAATTGACTGAAGCGTCCTCTCGAGCCAAACAAACGCCTTCTCTCCGCCGCGACGGGGTTCCTGATCATGAAAAGGCAGCCTCTGTTCCGAATGCGGTCTCCCGCCTTGCTGCGGGAGATGTGAATCCCTCCTCTGTTCCCTACCTTGGAATGTCACTGCACAGAATATCAGGTGAGAATATTGACTGAGATAATCGTGCGCTGATTATCTCAGTCATTAATCTTCTGTTATTGTCTTGATAAAGACATTTTGCCAAAATGTCAACCAATCTGTTACTTCATTCTTCAGGGTTTTCTCCGAGGAATACGGCTATTGCTACCGTCTAATCTATGTAAATAATGCTCCTCACGAATGCACTGAACAACCCCTTGAAACTTGGCATGTTTGCCCAAGCATCGTTTTTACATGCTGTGTCAACATTAAAGGGCAAACATATCCGGGAGTCCTGGGCCACATTATGCGCGGGCGTTCATTGCAATTGGCTATGTTCTCCTCAATGTCGATGTCTATGTGATAAAAGTAAAATTTGCCTACTGTTTAGTCCTTCGGAGTTCAAAGAAGAGACGTGCGCATAAAAGTATGATCTAATATAAACCGAATGTACCATTGTTGGCGGCGGTAGTTTCAGCACAGCAGATATTGGGGGATGCATAGCAGAATGAGGAATACTGACAGCAGCCTTTGCTGCCGTACAGTCACATGGTTGTTTGCAGCAGCTAACAGTCTGACGCTTTGCATTGACCAAGGCGTAGGATCAAATAACTACCCGTTCATTTGCCTATTAGTCTTGCAGGCGCTTTAGGTGAAACAGTTACGTGTATGAAGTACATAGAAGCAATATTTGATATTCCGTGCAGGGACGTTCCAAAATAGAGAACGGAGAAGGTATTCTCATTTCCGGGTAGGCAAGCAGACATGTTTGCCTTTGCTGTCTAACGACAGACTGGGCGCCTGCTCACCTGGCTTGCCCGAAGGCGCCGGCAGTGCTGTTGCTCTACAGAAGGAAGGCGTAATTCGCATTCTACATTTTGAGAGACACGCCCAGACATATCTCACTTTGGCCCGAAGCATTGGCGAAGTTCCCCCTGAAAAATGCTATTGCACTCAACGACATGCGGTTATAGTTCATTGCACCAGCTTACGACACACATCGTCCCTCTTTCGTGCAGCAGTCCAACCCGAGGCAGCGCATTACATCCGGGACTTCTGCTTCCGCGGGCGCCCAGCCGCTGTTTCGCATTACAGCCCGCTGGCCGCAGAGAAAACACTACTAAATCACCGCTGGTAGCATCCCGCCGATGACGGACGGCCCTCCCCACTGGGCTGCCTACTGAAGTAGGAGTGGGGGGGGGGGGCATGGGAGCTAACGGCGCGTGACCGGGACCGTGACAACATCAAAGGCGCCGACGGAAGCCGGCTGAGAGATGACCGTCCAGATTGGGTTGTGAAAAGCGAGAGACCACCGCAGTCACCGTCAGCACCCAGCAGACTGTAATTAGAGGTCTCCGCGGACCGGCTTCCGTCCCGGGTGGGACTGGACTGGTTCAAGAGAACCACAAGCCACACGGGTTGAAGCCGGGTCGTGCACCCAAGATTGTCGGCATAAGTTGACCGGGGCCAATTGACGAATCTAGCGTGATACTTCACACCTCAAACCCAAATGTCCAAATCTCTAATGTAGGATATCAAATGCTTCAAGGTCACAAATGCACCGGCAAGAGATACTTCTTCGCAAGATATGTTAGGCCGGGCTGAAGCGCAATGGGCATATGTGGGCCAGTGACAACATGTTTCCCATGATATATTCAAGCGAATGTCATTCCGCACGCATGAAGAGGTGCAACTCACGCACTTCTGCACATGTCTGCACCACATGCACAGACTGACACCCGGCACTCCATGTCTACACCCGGGTTCAGGGCCGACCGCGAGGCTTCTGTCACCGCGACACGCTGCCGCTGCGCTGTACCGCGCTGTTGCAGGGGGACAGGCGGCGCGGCGTGACCAGTTGGGGTCCGGTCGTCCCTCCCCCCTCGGGCACGAGCGACCGTCATCCGTCACCGTCACCGGCCTCGGTCGGCCATCTGTCATCGGCCGGCGCAGTCAGCGGACGGACCGGCCGCGACGGACGCGGTCAGTCGGCTGAGCCGGCTCCGCCGCCGGCGACCGGCGGGTGCCGCGCGCCGAGCACCGGAAGCCGGCGCGAGCGCTGGTGGAGGACGGGAGGACGGTTTGCAAAGGGCAGTGAGGCGAGGGAGCTGCGAGACTGGCGCTTGTGGAAACCAAGCAGGGTTGTGCCACCATGGGTTCCAATTTTTCGAAGGGGATGTCGAGAGCTTACGGCGATTGTTTAAGGCAACGGTGTGCAGGCAGGCGGTCAGTGTAAAAAGAAGACGTGAAGCGAGTTAAAGCCACTCAGAAATGACACGCAAACACTTCACGTCGGCTGTAATGCCGCCGCCTGTAAGTGTGTTCAAAAGGCCCAAACATGTCCTTCGGAGTACCAATGAACAGAAGTGAGTCCCCGAGCTTCGAAAAATCAAACATAAGGAACCACCTGTGACGGCCACGCTCGTCTACTCGGAGCGGACGAGCGAGGTGCGGACATGGTGCGAGGTCTCCACAACTGAGACCAGGGGGCGCCAGCAGCCGGCTCTCCGGATGGGAGACCCTGTCAGCGCCAGCTCTCGGCCGCGCCCCTCAAAGGCCGCACCCAGCCGACCGTGCGGTGGTCGTGCGCCCGCTGGCAACGTGCTGCCGCCAGGGAGAGGCGGCCAGTGCCAAGGACGGCTTCCGCCGCGCTAGATTCGCGCAGCTGTGATCTGGGAGTACCGGGCAGAGCGGGCTGGAGCGCCGCCGAAGCTGCGCAGCCAGGCACGCAGCCAGAGCTGTCAAAAACGGGGGCCGCGAGCCAGTCTTGATTGATGAACAATCCGTATTTGTCACCACCGCCTCTTTCCGTCGTGTTCGGCCTCGTGTGCCCGTGCTCGTGCACTTCGCGAGAAGACAAATCGCTGACTGGTAAGGCGGCTTGCTGACACTTGTGCAAGTCACCAGCACACCATCGCAGAACTAATCCTTGAAGGCATTTAACATGCATAGGAATAACACATGTTGGCGCAGGCGGAGAGATGCTTATAGGGCTGTCAGCAGTCCACAATCAACGATCTATTCCGAAAACAGCCGTGATAGGACTTTGTAAAGGAAAAGCCCCACGGCGAAAATCTACTAAGTTGGATCCATTGTTCGACACGGCGTTTGGTGGGAGCCGATACTAAGGACATGCTAACGAGCTTGGCTGTTGAATAATGTCTATCTGTGACGATTTATTAGCCACGCGACAAACTAGCAGAGTGATTGCTTATTTGAGCTTGAGCGCGCGCCGACAGCCGACCACACGTCTCCCATGCAGATGAGCCCGATGCAGCGAAATGACGATCCATCAGCGAGCCAGCCGGCCGGGAAGCCTCAGTGATATCTCGGTCCACCGGTCGAGCCCCGGGGTTGCGTGAGCCGACGCCTCTCTGCCTCTCATCACCCGATCGTAATGACGGCCTGCGGTGCTATCACCTGCTCACGTGCCGCCGCCTCATCGCGCGCCTCGCCCGCCGCCACGCCGAGCGCGACGCCTCACCTTGCTGGGCGGCGATGAGGCAGATCCATCCGAGGGCGACCAGCAGCCGGAGAGGGAACATCTCACAGACGCTGCCGTGCAGCACCCATCGCCTGCAACATCGGACCGGCGTCAGCGGCGTCACCAGGGCGCAGGACCGGCGTCAGCGGCGTCACCAGGGGACCGGCGTCAGCGGCGTCACCAGGGCGCAGGACCGGCGTCAGCGGCGTCAACAGGGGACCGGCGTCAGCGGCGTCAACAGGGGACCGGCGTCAGCAGCGTCACCAGGGCGCCGGGTCGCAGAAATTAGTTGGGAATGCGCCAACAAAATGACTATACATACCTCCGAAAAACCAAAAGCGGACTTCTCCCCAAATTTTACCAACCGCCTTATCCAAGTTGGGACTGGAGCCCTCCAACTGAATGGGAGGCCGCGCCGTCGTCTGTGCCGGTCACAGGTCCCTGACGGGTCGCGCCGGGGTGCCAGGCGGTGCACAGGTCCCCAGGAGGTCGGGCCGGGGTGCCAGGCGGCGTTCATCCGCCAACTCGACAGACGCTTAGTCAGCAGCGAACGGCCACGGCACCGGTCGAAGGGCATATAATTCAGTATCCCGTGTGGCTCGTTTATACAACATGACAGGGGTTCTTCATCGACAAGGTTATTACTGAGCACCATAAACAGCAGAGGCGGCTGCCGCAGGTCTGCGCCGGCCTTGACCAGTCGTAGCATGCCTCACACTCCGCCGAGGTAAGCTCGGTACGGTACCGGGCTGCAACAAGCGATCGCTGTTCAAGGAACATAAGGCTGCAGTCAGGGAGATTCGAAATCTTAGGCATGTTGCTGCCGGCCCGGAGGTATGCTCAGATCGTATCCGTTCATCACCAATAGCTTATGTACTACACGGCAACACACCGCTTATCCCACGCCTCCATACAGCAAGGAACACGACTGGGTAATTTGAGATCCTTATGATGCATTGCTAACTGACAGCTGTCCTGAACGGCGTCTCTATGCCGTAATTCCCAACAATCATTAACACGATGCGCCGCGAAGTAAGAGATCCATTTGTCTGCGAAGTAATCGACCGCCCGTCCATGCACACCGACTTCATTATCTCACCGTTTGGGTATGTGTATGCGACTCAGCTCCGGTGGTGGCACATCGCACACCGCACGGCAGCTGTGTGCGATGTGCCACTAATCCCGACTCCATTATCTCGCCGTTTGGGTATGTGTATGCGACTCAGCTCCGGCGGTGGCACATCGCACACCACACGGCAGCTGTGTGCGATGTGCCACTGATCCCGACTCCATTATCTCGCCGTTTGGGTATGTGTATGCGACTCAGCTCCGGCGGTGGCACATCGCACACCGCACGGCAGCTGTGTGCGATGTGCAACTGATCCCGACTCCATTATCTCGCCGTTTGGGTATATGTATACGATTCAACTCCGGTGGTGGCACATCGCACACCGCACGGCAGCTGTGTGCGATGTGCAACTGTGATATCCCTGCCCGCATAAAGTGTAGTTATGATCTTGACTTTTATATAGGCCTGTCCACTTTCAGCTACCTCGGTTGTGTTATCAGAAAGTGCGTGTCCTTTGCAGCACTGTCTCACTCTGTCGTATTAAGAGATTCAAATGGCCTCACCCACTGTAAGCGGGTAACGCGAGGGGGGCACAGGGTTAAAAAGGACTCCTGCTGGTAAGAGCCTCCTTCCCCAAGAAAGAGATCCCATACTTAGCCCGACTGATTTCGAGGTGTGGATTTTGTTTGTTTTAATTTTGTTTCTTGCCAGGAGCCAGAGGCCAACGGAAGATGCAATTCTGATTCTATGTTGAAGGTAATTACCTAAAGGTATGAGGCGTAAATGATCGCATGGAATGAACCGCCGGCACTTTTTTAACGCCGCAGTGAACTTTTTCTAAACCGATAGCCCTCCTGGGATTCGCAGTACATTTGCAGGTTCTACAAAGAAGTGAGGACCGACCCCGTGGATTAAACGTATCTTGCGGACCGCAAGGACTAAGGTCAAAAACTTGTATTGACATGGGCAGCCTCTGTTCGTCTAAGAATGTTCATCTATCGTTCAAATTCAAGTGGTGAAAGAGCATCCAGCATGGTTTTGAACAAACGCGCTCACAGGTTTCAGACATGAACACCGATACACAGCGTTGCAGTCTCCATTGACCGCGCGGGTTTGGAGTTGTAGCTAGCACTAAGCAGCCAACGAGAGGACGAAGGCGATACATGACTGACAGAAGCACCTTTGAAAATGTTATGACATAAATTTGTAATTACGAAGGTAGTCCTTGCCATCGATTTCACTGCTGCGATTTCTTCAATAACGGGATGGATTGACATTTACAGCACCGCGAACTCCTCACGTAATTGTGAAATTTGTTTTTTGTGTCGCGCTAACTGTCAATATGCTCAAACGGCAAACGTAATAAGATATATATATATATATATATATATATATATAATATGCAGTCCAGTTTAATCTTTGAACGGTACGAATAAATTTGAAGCGCTATCAGAACCCTTATTTTGCGACACACGGTCGTTCCCGGGCGTGCTTCGTCCGTCGCCTGGCGTTATCTGCAGCGGCCAACACCGTTAGGGCTGTCAGAAGCTGCTACCCCGGCTGTCGGTGTTCTTGGTCCAAAAATATCGAGAGCACGCATGCACGAGAGCACGCAAAGCACGCACGCAAAGCACGAGAGCACGCAAAGACATCTTAGTATAATTTGTTTCATCGGTCTATTCTGAAAAAGGGCGGGGTCCTCAGATAAGGCTGGATCGACTGTGTCAATACGCAATGTTGTCCCCATTTTGATCCATCCTATTGCACTCTAAAAAAGCGCTTACCTCACCTTCGCCGGGCAAGGGGCCCAGTGTGTAGAGAACTAAGGGCACGTCATTTCTTTCAGTCATGGGCCAAATGGCCATTTCATACCAGCCCGGTATGTCTACCGGCTGCCAAGCTGGCGATACATGGCGGGGCCTCCTGCTCGCCCCGGAACCCTTTAGAGGGATACATCACACATCGGTTCCCTCTCTGATGTGGGAGATCCTCTCACCGGGCAGTTCTGACCACAGAATCCTGACCCCCCCCCCCCCCCCCCCCCCCCACTGACCCAAGAAGGTCCCTTCTCGCCACAGGAATCCAATGATTGGCACAGAGCCTTCAGTTCGGCTTATCGTGTCCCTGGCTGAAAAGGAGTGGCGGTCCCCAGTTCGGTGCTGAGGCTCCTGATTGGCATTCATTGTTTCACTGTGGACTCTCGTCTTAAGTTTTCATATCTATCTCCTTTCATTGTCAGAGGCCCCTGACCAACGGAAGAGGACCTCTGGCATTCAGGGGTCCGTCTCTGTCCCTGTTCTGAAAATGCGCCTCTGGCTGACTTAGAGCCCCCATATGGTATTGGTGATCCCTGAAAGACAAAGGAGCCTCTCATTGCATCAGGAGCCCCGACCAACGTAAATCGCGGGCTCCAGACTTATCCCTGCTTAGGAAATGGACTTCCGGGGCTCAGACCGACACGTAACCGGCTGATCGGTGTTGGTCGTCCCCGGCCCAAATACAGGCCCGCGTCCCAGGGGTTCCCAACCGGTGCAAGGGGCCGCCTGACCGACATTAGGGACGACGGCCCTACGGGCTGGCGTCCTTAATACGTCCTACGGCCAGCCCTTCTAGTTCTTCCGGTGCCTCAATTGGGGCCTTGATCGCCGGTTTCGGGTCCCGTGGGACCTAAGGAGGGGACACGTGCCTTCCGTGTTGCTCCCTTCCCGCACCCATGACTGCAAGTGATGTGGAAATGCAAGACAAAATGTCCATAAAACTGCCTCACACTAGACGTATCTAGGCTGTGCTGTTCAGAGCTGTAGCTGCAGGTAACGTCAGAACATCTGTCAACAGCAGCTCTATCCGCCTGTTCAACTCCGCTGGCGCCGAGGTCTCGTTAAGATGACGTCCCATGTGACACTCCTGCTCAAATATGGGCTTATTACAAGGGATCTTGATTTGGCCGCTCTTAAATGGTCTGGAAGACCATACTGACCACCACCAATAGCAGTTTTGATAATTTAGAATGTAGCCAATGCATTCAGCTTCAAATTCTCCATGATCCCTTCGACTGTCCACAACCATAACATAGCTGCTTTCCGAAGACATCACGCTTAAACTGTGGAATTCTTCCACTAAAATCAGAAGATAGTGTTGACAATAAGCTTCTTCTCCTCCAAATGTCCCAACACTGCCATCCATCTACGATCGCAGTCGATCGCCTCTGCTTGTACCTGCAGACAACCGACCTTACCGTTCGTCACTGGAGTCAGGCGACCCCTAAATACGTTCCAGACGACAATGAATCCCCAGCGTCCACCTCAGAAGACAGTCCCTGACTTCTGTCCCTGAGTACAGAAGACCCCATAGCTCGTCCTGGAGACAGAAGATCCCTTAATCCTCTTTCGGGTATAAGTAACGCACAGTGTCTGCCCCTGGAGACAGCCGACTTCTGGCGTACGTCCATGAAGTCAGCCGACTCACACCTTTCGTCTCTGGAGACTGGCAGCCCTTATACTACCCTAGCCGACAGTCAACCACTGACGTTAGTCCTTGAAGACACCGGAGACCTGCTAATCGTCCATGGGGATGGACAACTCCTATGCCATCCTAGGTGGCGGCCAGTACTAGTGTATGTCGCTGGGACCAGCCGCTGGGGCCAGCCGCTGCCCGCCGTCCAGTCTTGAGGCGGCGGCCGGACGGCGCCGGCCAGCCCGTGACGTGCTCTCCCGTGACGCGTCGACGCGTCACGCCGCCGCCCGCACATCTCAACAGAGCCGTGGGAGCGGCGCCGGCGCCGGCCTACGCGCCGCGCACCCAGGGGAGGGCCGCCGCCCGTAAACCGGGCGGCGGCCGCAGACGCGTACTCCGGCAGGCCGGCGCGCCCCTGCGCCCGTCGGCGGCGGCGGTGGCGGACGCCGTGGTGCGCCGGGCTAGCGCACGGAGGCAGACCCGCTGCTGGTGTCGCAGGAGCAGGGTGGGGTAGCACTGGGGTCAGAGGTCGCGCGGGCAGGTGGCCCGGATTACGCGTACGCGTGCTTC